GATGAAAAAAAAATCTGAGGCTAAATAATTGTTTTGTTAGCTGGAAAACAGAACATGTTTCGTCTTTATATTGTTAATAATCAAGCGTTCAGCGCCTATTTTTTATTCGGCCTTTCATCGTGTGATGAATGGTCAAAATCCTCAAAACCCAATTGGATCAACCAGTTTAAACGGCCCTTTGTGGACCACCCGTCGACCTATTTCTCGATGCTTGCCTGACAACAATTTAACGTTTATAAGTTGCAAAAATACAATATATTCACAAATCGGTAACAATAATCACACAATTAATTAATTTCACTAGTTTTCGTTGTCCGCTTGACCAATTAATATCTTTCAATTAATTAATGTTGATACCATTTTGAAAAGGTTAGAAAAATTTTCAGCTGGTATTTCAGATATGCTAGCAAGGCGATAAATTCAATTTGAGTGGTTATGGTGTGCTTAGTCACTATGATATATGATATAAACTTTAATATTTGAACCTGCCTTAGCGTTAATAATGCATGTTAGACGGCTAACTGCATAGGTAATTTATTAACTAAGACTTTGATTGGGCCTTGAAAGTCAGTTGTCAACACACAAACGCGGGCATTGATGGGCGTTTATCTTTTTCTTATCACGTAAGACTGCTATGATCGGGCTCGGTCATATCTAATATTAAATAGTTTATTTATACTGTTCCGTTTTCTAGGAATTTATAACGAAATTTATAGCTAAATTTTGGCTTCTAGTGAAGAATGTTCATCCTGGTCCGCTCGGTCTCGCCTAAAGACGTTACATGTCCATTTTAAGCGAGTCTTCACAACGTTCATATTTCTAAATAGATTTTCGAATTTAAACACTCACCTAACATTTTTTTACAAGGGTATTTTAACTACGAGGTTATATGAATCCTCGGGGTGCCGGTGTTTTTGAAAAAAGCCCATTTTACATGTAAGTATGTCGAGTTCGAATGCAGGGCCGCTGGATTCGAACCCGGGACCTTTACCTTACAGTGACCTTATAGTGAAACGCCAAAACCGTTGCAGTCACCGACGCTCCTAACATTGGACAATGATCTCAAATACCATATTAAAAGTTAATAATAAACAATAAATCATTCTGCAATATAAAGATTTTTAAAGCTGGTTTAAATGATTTGAACAAATTAGTGTTGTTTTTTTCAATTCGCCAATAAAACTTCTTTCTAAACCAAGGATATGAGGTTATTTTTTTAAAACAAAACTAGAGTAAATTGATACTTTCCTGAAGTTGTTAATCGAATTTTCACTTTACAAATCCAAGGAGCAATTGTGCTGACAATAATGACTGGTTATCAGGAGAGTATCCTCCTCCTGATATTTCCGTGATATTCCGAAAGATAACAATTGAAGTTACGATTTATAAATGCCAGATGAACGCTTCTTGAAACACATGAGAAATCCAATTTAAATTTTTAATTCCAAACCAATGAATATCCTACTGTAATGTGAACCTAATCCTACTGTAAATTTGATTACACCAATTATTTTATATTTTAAAAAATCACAACTTCATAGATGAATAATTGGTTTTTATATTTAATTTTCTATAATTTTTAATATTAATTGTAATTAATGTGTTACAAGAGCCCATTTTTTTTCAAATGCAGAAATTTTATTTTACGTGCTTACATTTCAATCCATCAACTAGGTTTTTTGTTTAAAAAGGGTTAATTTGACATTAGAAAGGGCTAATTTGAAATTAAAAAGTATTAATTTGATTTTAAAATTGAAATTGAAGTTAAAATCGGTTGATTTGCAATAAAAAGAAGGTTACCCCCCGGGAACGAGGGTAAACTGCGTCATCACACATAACACACATACACTTACACTGACACAAGCACATTAACATTATATACACCCTAGGGCTACCGCTTTTAGGAAAGTCTCACGTTATGTGGCCCCAGTACGGATTCACAGGATCTCCCAGTCTCTTTGGGTGTACGCGAAACCTGCTCCTGTGACGGTACCGGAGGAAAACTTGGTTACGGAACTCCCGGGCCGCGAGGTATAAGGGACCCGAACCCCGGACTAACCACCGGGGAAGCTGACCTATCACCTCGTGTATAACGTTGAGGTGCCTGGTACCTCTGGCGACTGGATGGTTACCGTGCTCGGCATCACGACGGGTCCTCCTAGGCCACGCAGGTTGCGGGCAGAACGGAGAATCACACGAATGAGCCGGGGAATCACCTCCAAAGGCTGAGGATTGCATTCACATGATACACATACAATCTTAAGGCGGCTCCAGAAATACGGTATTCGCCGAATGCTGCGCAGATTTTAGCCGAATCCCGACTAGTGTGGATGGATGCTCGTCTATTCGCCGAATAACAACATCCGGTGCTCGCCGTGCTCGGCTTTTTGTCGGTTTTCTTGTCCGCTTCGAAGGGCACGAATATTCGTGAAGTAACCGCACTCAAACCATCCACACATTCGGGAATCAACTATAACTGTACATACCTTTAACCAACTTTCAACTATTTTCATCATCGACAATAAGTGTATAATTATTCAGAAATCGTGAGATGCGGTCTTGTATGACGTAGGGTTTAGAAAAACATTTTCTTTATCGTGCCAACGTTTCGATCTTTATTGAGATCATCTTCAGGGCCTGGGATTTACAAAAATTGTTTAAATTTAACAAATACATATAGGATGTGGAAAAAATATTTTACCTATATACTTTGATTGAATATAAAAAAAAATTTTTTTTGCATTTTATAAATTCACTTTTTTCCACATCCTATATGTTAAATTTAAATAATGTTTGTAAATCCCAGGCTCTGAAGACGATCTCAATAAAAATGGAAACATTGCCACGATAAAGAAAATGTTTTTCTAAACCTACATCACACCAGACCGCATCTCATGATCTCTAAATAATTGTTTATATGAAGTTAAAAACATATATGTGTGTGTGTGTGTGTGTGTGTGTGTGTGTGTGTGTGTGTGTGTGTGTGTGTGTGTGTGTGTGTGTGTGTGTGTGAGGTTGTAATGAATTGAAATGATTTTGCTGTATTATGAATTATGTTTAAACTGCTGTCTTTTTGACACTGCTTTAGAATTGCTGTTGGAATTGTATTTTGTTGTTGTTTAAAAAGCCACGAAAACTACAAAATATTGGTCATCGCAGAAATATTGTCAACAGAATACCAAATGAGAGACAAAATGGAACGGAAGAAGAACCAGTACAACGAAATAAACAAAATAGATTTCATATGTCACACTCACGTGCTAGTGAATGGTCAAACGTCCCAAAGCACGAAATGAAGCAAGTCGAGTAAGAATTAGAGAGTTAAGACAATTTTTATCCTATTGTGATCAGAACGAACAGTGTGACAATAGTCAGTTATGCATGCAAATAAATCGATTAAATCAATTGGTAAAATCCGATGGTATTGCAGTATAATTCAGATTTGGCTCTCGATGCCTGTAATTTACTGTAAATTATAAACTGGAATTGCTGGTGGAAAAGTGATACGCTCAACACTGCACATGTGTGTGTTTATGCTCAAACATCTGCGGATTTGAACTTATATATGTAAATCAACAATCAGAAACTGTTATAGATCTAGATGAAGTAGTAAATTACCTTACTTTTGTGTTTTTGTGTTTATATTAGTTTTGTAAGTTTTTTACAGTTCAGTACGCTGCTGGTATGAATTATGTTTAATCTTATATTCTGACTTTTTGACAATGCTGTAGAATTACATTTTGCTGTTGTTTTAAATGCCACCAAAAAGACCACGTATTGATCGTAGAATAATATTAATATGCTTACTAAAACTCGAAGGAAGAATGTGTGTGCTAATACAACATATACCAATGATAACAAAAGAAGTGCTTTTCCAATTCAAATTATTGAAATTTCCAATTAAACTGGCTTTTGCAGTAATGATAAACAAATCACAAGGTCAATCACTGCTATTATGTGGATTGAATTTGGAGAATCCATGGTTTTCTCATGGACGATTATACGTTGCGTGCTCCAAGATTGGAGATTTGTTGTTTATACATATTCCAAATAGAATCACGAAAAACAGTGTATATCCAACAGCATTGCAATGAATTTAACGCTGAATACAACAGTAATCACAATTTAATACAATGTAATTCCAAACAAAAATATCTAATATGATGACTAAATACAATCATTGATATTAAAAATTCAGTAGTGTTAATTTAATTTACACATATGCTCCTATCTAGCAATAGCAATATGTATTCAAAATAATGTGTTAAAACTTTTTATTATCCCCCTGGGCAACACCGGGTTATAAAGCTAGTTTGAAATAAATAAAAGTTAATTTGACGGGGAAAATATCTGATGATAAAAGCTAGATTTGTGTAGGCCTAGGGTGGCTTGGTGAAGTTCGATTGATCAACTTTGAACTGTACAATGTCCTTCATATGCAATGGAAGTTTCTTTTATTAATTGCAGGCCACGAAAACAAGAATGGTTTTATGCTAACACAGAAAAGTGATTTTGCAGTTTGGCAATTTCCGAACTATTATTACTATCGCTGTTTTGATGTCAGACTAGTTTTTATTTTCTTCTTGTTCACTGGTTGAGTTTTGTACCATGATAAACGGACCAAAACAGGAGGTTCATCGAACCCGGGGAACTCGAGGAGGAATCTCATAAAAATTGATTTTCACAATATTTGAGAATCACGGATGTGGTCCAGATTGGAGTATGTTCTTATCTGCCAAGCTTTCAATTAATTTTTTCGATCTTCCTCAAGGCTTTATACATCAATAATGAAAATTTTAACAATAAAATTGATTTTGAGTAAAGCTGAAAAAAAGAAATGATCATGCATCGGGCGTAAATTGATATTTGTATCTATAATGCTTTAAGTAGTACTTTTCCAATGGTGATTTTTTTTTGTCAAACTATAATGCTTACAAAAAATAAGACACAACAAACAACAATTCTACCTTGCTTTGTTTTAAAGACCAGTATTTAATTACCTCGTTCGTCTTTTCATCTTTGTCCATGTACTCGAGCATCCGATAACTTTACGGTACGTGTGAGTTTAATAATTAATAAGGTCGTCTATAAACGACATTAGCAAATGGCACAAATCGACTGTTGAAAGGACCTTATTATTTCCGTCGCCTAGCTACCGGGACCGGGAACAACCTAGAAACTGCCGGCTTATACAGATCTTACTGTCACTTTTCGGAATAGGCGGATTATTCGAATAGTTGTACGTGTTCTATAAATGTACGATTGACTGTACATATTAAAACTTAAAATATTATTAACATATTGAAACTTGAAGCAGAAGAAGAGGAAAACTTAAACTCACCATTTTAACGTTAAATAAAGAGTATTGATTGAAAAACTTGAGACCATAATAATTCAATAAGTAAGAACCCAACTCTATAATATTGCTACACGAAAATGATCGGCAAAACGGCGGTAGTTGTCTGGGTACCCGGATTAGGTGAAACAGGTCTGGAGGATAACGAAAAGCCGGGCGAGGCAGCTAAGGTCAGGATGTCCCAACCTTCTTACTTTACCATCGCGATCCAGCCGTAACGATCCCTTTGATGCTAAAAATGCGATTAAAAACATAATTTAAAAAAAAATGGCAGGTTCGGTGGGTTGGATCGGCAGAGAAGCTCGCACAACTCGATAGGTGGCTCTCGGAGGATCTGACTCGTGAAAGAGAGATCATCTCATCCAATTAGGAATAAGCCATGTGAAGCTGACACGGACACTTACTTTTTGGCCAAAGCCGGCGTATGTATCCGGCATGTAGAGAAAGGTTGCTCGGTGTATCCTACTGTCTGATCCTAAAATCCTACTTCCGACAGATACGTTCAAGTCATCAGTGACCCCACTCTATCAGCCAGCTGGCTATCGCAAAGATGCACGAGAAACACAAGAAAGTATTTTAGGATCCATCCTCTACACAGTATACGCCGCAGACATTCCTAATCTTTTTGAATCTATTCTTACCTTGGCGGATGATACCGCCATCCTTTGCTTTCATAAATGTACTGTCAATTGTCATCTCGACTAGAAACCCATGTCACATTCCTTGAGCAGTTGTTATCCACTAGGTGTCACCACTGGTTCAACAATGATCTCACATTCCACCCTTCAGCCAATGAACTTGTAGAAGCTCTGTGTATAAGCAGGGGCTCAATCGGCTTGTTCGTCGACGAGGTTTCAAGTCTCTCTAATGGAGCAAACCATCAGCAATAACTGCAGGAACAAGGGTACTCACAGCATCGTCTTTCACATTCTCAACATCCGGCGAGGCCGCATGCTGCACGAGTCCCTTCGCTCGCAACCGAGTCTATCGACTCCCGCTGCATTAACATCCGGCTCATGGACATCAGTCCACGGACTCCGACCATCGGCTCAACCCAAAACACTCGGGCCATCAAAAAACTCCCAATCACAAAAATTGTAATAACATAAAAAGTGTGTACCCTTGTATGAATAACCACTGCTCCCATGTACTTCAGTCCCGTATACCTCTTATCCCGTACCATTTAAAGTGATCCTCATCTGTAGCTTCACTGGCCTCGCGGCCTCGTAAGTGACAGTGAAAATGCAAATACGTAGGAATGACTACTACTAATGAATGGTTCCTTTTATCTCGTTTTGTTTTGTCTTGTAAGATCTTATCAACATAGTGCTGGGAGAGAGATTAAGCCCACCAACCACGCCATCGAGACCAAAGAAATGACCAGATGCGTCTTCTCGAAATTGAGCTCGATCGCGAAATCGAAATGGGATTGACTGTGAGTCCAAGAGCGCTCTAAATTACTTACCAAAGCCATATGTATATCTGCCATTACCACATATAGAGGAGCAGCCAGGGGAACAAACTAGAACCATCCTTCAAACAGAGACAAAGAATAACGTTCCTCAGAACGACAAAAGCTTATAGGACAGGCCCTACTCCGAGTCCTAGTTTCCGATCCACCAATCGACTCTGCCATGTCTGCAATTAATAAGTAGAATGGCAATTCGACAGCTAAAAGACGGAAAGGGGCCAACAATGGTAAACATGGATGCGTCAGAGGGAGATTGGCTACGAGATGCGCCTAGGAACCAGATCCAGGACTTTTTACAGCTTGAATTAAAAAAACTATTGGCAGGAAAGGTGAGACAAAAGCACCAAGGGAGGGCTAACCCTTTTTACCCAGTACTGCGGATCGAGCCAGAACATGGTTTCAACTAGATTTCTGAATCACCCAAATACTAACAGGACACCTGTTACCTGCACTGGTTCCATAAAACAACAGTCCTCTTAGCCCTACGATGGCAGTATCCAACACAGATTGTTCAACTGCCACCTATTTGAATGTGCGAAGGAACCTTTAAAACTCATTTTCCTGCCACCGACCATCAATAGACAAAGAAAAGCACCTTTGAGGCCCTCAAACCAGTTAGCCGAGCTATAGTCAGTAGAATACCTGACGAGTTTTTTTAGATGAAATTTAAGTTACTTGTTGGATTTAAGCACTACCTTCACTCTTAATTCCGGACTGGTTACTCCTTGTTCCCATATTTGTTTATTATTTATTAAATATATATTATTTTTATTGTTTTTGTTTTATTAGAAAATGTATTCACAAGGATTAACCAGCAAGGGGGAAACCTATTAGATTAGGTAAAGTAATAAAAAAAATATTTCCATACCTAACTTGGGCCTCCCTTTTTAGGGCAAATCCAAGGAAGCCTTTAAGTACCGTAAGATCCCCTAAATTTGCAAACAGAGAAACTAATTTAGTGACCGTGATCCGCCGGTATGGGGTCTCCCTTAGGTATGGCAAGAAGGTGGACGGGGTAAATAACAGTCTTATCAAATTTACTTAAGCGCAACAATTGATGCAGGTGTAATTTAAAAAAATTTAATTAAATAGTTTTTATTATTATTATTTTAGTATGTTCGTAAAATTAAATTTATTTCTAAGATAGGTACACTTAAGGGAGCTTTAAGCCATATTTGTACCAATAAAATAAATAATCGCAGTCAGACTAGCCGAAACAGTTCCAGTGTGAGACGAGCTAAAGGCGTGATCATGGCGCCCCCTCCAAAATTCTTCCAAAAGATAAAAATTCCGAGAAAAGAATCGGATTATCTTTAAAAACTTAAAGTCCATCGTTTTTTCACCGTTTTTTCAACATGTGATATGATTTTTGACGAATGGATTAAGAGTTGAAACCCGTCGTCTGTTTCGCAAGTAGGCAGGCGACACTGTTTCGAGCGAAAGCAGTCAGGAGCAGGAAACCCTTTGGATTGTTCATTCTAGTGTGAGTGCCTTCCTGTGCTATTATTCAATTCATTTGTTTATTTATTTAATCTGTCGGGTTTCAAACTGGCAGATTAAATTATCTCTTCACCTCTGGTCTGGTGGCGCCCCGATAATGTTGAGATACATGGGAAGGCAAACGCATTGAGACAAGAAATACCTAGTTTACAAATGTCTTGTTTTTTATGATGGCTAGAGAATATGATCATTTATTTAAATTACTGATTATCGGGGATAGCGGTAAGTGAAAATGTTATTTTATTATTCCATTGAATTTGAAAGGGTTCGTTCGTTGGACCGAGTTACCGGTCCGAGAGGCAAAACAAAAGTTCTCTGGCCGATAACAGATTGTTTTTTCTTTTACCTCCCGCCTCAAGAAGTTCTCCTGAATCAATTTATTTCACTTTCCTTTTTTTCCTTTTCTTTTTTTTTTTTAAAGATCTTTTCTAGCTCGATTAACGCCCGCTGCCCTCGTCTAGTTAAAACGCCTTATCCATCGATTCCTGACACCTTTACAAAAATCATTTGGCCTCCGTTAAAAATTCCTAGAATACGAAAAAATTCCTTCACAGGAAAAACGTGGACCTTCAAATTCCTCTTTACCGCTCATTTCACCTGCGTGACGGTGCTTTGCCGTTTTCTAAAAGTGATAGATCATCCCTTTTTTTAACGATACCGGGTGTTCCGTCGCGATATGCGCCAAATAAAACTTACGCGGGTTCTAAGAATTACCGCCTCTCTCATTACCAGCTTACTCACTATCGCCCTTTGCCCCTCCCTCTGCTTTTATCTTTCACGCATTCTTTTTTTTATCATTCCACCTGTTCTCCGATTCCCACTCTCATTCACGTCTCATACATTCGCACAATCAATCAAACACTCGCATCTATCTCTGTTTTACCCTCATTATCAAACTATCACCATGACACTATCCCCCGCCAACAAGAACTATGCACTCTCACCGACAAAAATTAAAAACATCACCTTGGTTTTTCAAAGTAATACGTTTTATAGTGATTGTGTGTGATCTTTCTGATTGATAATCTGTTATAAAAATAGTTTGGTCATTTCTGATCATTTTGGTCTGCCAATTGATGTTAGGGCATGTCAGACGTTTCTTTGCTTCTCCCCTTCTTCAGTGTGCTTAAAGCAAACATTTTACATTGCTCAAGACTACACATGGATGCCAGTAAAATTGCTTTTTCTTAGTTTAAGAGAGCCATTCCCGCATTTATTTTTCTGTTATAGGCTGTTGTGGGATGTCCATTAACTAAATCAACTGTGCCTCGGTACGTTGGATTGGATGTTAATATTCAATTTACAACCCGAACGACATGCAGTTTGCCAATAAATAAAGCAAATGGCTCAAGATTGCTTGTAATGAACTGTTCACTTTTAGAGATTCTTATAAACACATAAGTCCATAACTGATCCTACACAAAAATTGTAGGGAAAAATTGCAGGCACCATACCTGCAAAGCCTGACTTCTCCATATTCCTTTGTGACCTAGTGACCACGAAGTATTCCTCCGCATAATCTGGTCAGTTGCTGGATAGTTGGAATGACAGCCTTCTTCTTACGGTTTGGCCTAAATTGGGATTTTTCTTACTTTTAATAGCTAAGACTCAGCATAGTGTTATTCCAAACACAAAGGGCATTTAGTTGAATAAGTCTGTCTACAATAGCTGAAATACACAGCGCTCATCAGTGTAAGGTAATGGTTCTGGGTTGGAATCCAGCGGCCCTGCATTCGAACCCAACATACTTACAAATGGGCTTTTTTTTCACAAAAACACCGGCACTCCGAGGGTTGATATAACCTCTGCTGTTGCGAACCCTCATAAAAATAAATAAATAAATGAATAAAAATAAAACAATAGCTGAAATAGGCTTTGGGCAATGAGAATAATTTCTTGCCTCTGTGTTTCACTTCAGCATTCTGGAAATAACAGATTAGTGGTTTCCTGTTAGCTGTAGACCTCATTGTTAAAGACACTGCTCTGATCTTTACAAATACTTTCTTTTGCCCATTTTAAACAAAGGAAAAATCCAACTTGAGTTTAAAAAATTAAAAGTGAATCTAAATCAATTGATATGAGTTCAATGTGAAATGCTTGACTATTGAGTACATATAGATTTAAATAATGATTTTTCAATGTAATCCTACACTAAACAAACAAAAGAGAATTCTGACAAACAAACAAGACCCATACCCTCTAAGAATTAGCAATTAAAAAAAAAAAAAAAATATTAAGGTGATGTTGCAATATTGTCTGTAAGTTTATATTTCATTCAATTTGTTTTTATTGTTTTTGTGGTTGAAAAATGAAATATTGATTACTCAATCAATATGTGTAACAACTGAATTTTTGGAGATCGTGAGATGTGGTCTGGTGTGGGTTAGAAAAACATTTTCTTTATCGTGCCAACGTTTCGATCTTTATTGAGATCATCTTCAGGGCCTGGGATTTATAAAGATCGAAACATTGGCTCGATAAAGAAAATGTTGTACTAAACATACGTCATACAAGACCACATCTCACGATCTCCACAAATAATCATTAACTAACAGTCACTAAACACCACACATGTATAAAAACTTTTCTAAAATTTCCAATATCGATTACTTTTTTAATGTTGTGATGTATATATGTGTACATTTGTTTACCCATTCGTAGTACTAGTAACTATTCACTTTTAAAAGGATGTTAGTAAGGCTTATATTCTTTCCACATGGTAATTAAAATTATATGTTTAAATGTTCTTGCAATTAATATTTATGATATAATTCCTTCTAATTCCTTTTTTGTTGTGTAGCTAGAGTTGGTGTTAAATTGTTCAACTTGTAAAAAACACACTTGCCGAAATCACCCTTGCGATTTATTTATTGTATTTGTCTATGCATTTCGGCTTAATAGTATTATATGTAGTTACCTGATTCTACCTTGTAAAAGCCCTGAAGCAGGACTTGTGGAACAGGCCGAAATGCTTAAGAAAAAACAATAAATAAATCGCAAGGCTGAACTTGGTGAGTGTTTGTTTTTAGTGAGTTTCCACCGTTGTTATGCATTTTATTGACTGAACTTAGCAGTATAAAATATGCTCTTGGTTCAGTTGTCAAAGTTCTGTTGGCAGTAACTTGAAAACCACTCTTTGTTTTGCTTATTTTCATTTTAGCACAATGCAGCTGTTTAAACAGGGCTTAATGCCACTGTTTCCTTTTCCTACTTTTTTATTTTTTTTATTTATTTTTTTTACGAGTATTTCAACTATGAGGTTATATGAACTCTCTGGGTGCTGGTGTTTTTGAAAAAAAGAAAAAAGAAAAGGCTATTTGTATGTATATCGCGTATCGAATGCAGGGCTGCTGGAGTCGAACCCGGGACCTTTACTAGTGATGAGTGCCATTTCAGCCCCTAAACTGTTGTAGTCACCAATGCCCCATACTAAACTTAATCGTTTTATGGTTGGTATCCAAATCAGGAAAGGTAGCTCAGTCCCACTCGCTATTGCTTCTGTCTATATACTCCGACAGAAAACTGACTCAGTCCCAACATCACACACAGTCCTTGGCAATGTTAGGACTTAGTTGGTCTTCATGGAAATTTGAGATCACCTGTAAAAACTTAAATATGTCAATCTGTAAGCATATATAAGGTTGTTTTGCCCTGATGATGGCCTTCAAATAGGTTGAAAGCTTGGCAGTAGCAACTGAATTTGGTTTCTTCCTAAACACCATACCTTGATCTAGAGTATTCGTATCTGATATTTCTCCGGTCGAAACATGGGAAGTACTTCACATCTTGTACTTCAGGCCCTCCTAACATGTGTTCATAAATGGAAAACATAAGGGACAAAATGAAGAGACTAGAAGGCTTTGTGAGAGAAAGATTGCCCAAATTATAATGGTGGTGTTTGTATCGGTGGTGATGGGAATATCGGTCAATGACCGAATGACTGAATTGACCGATATTCCCATCACCACAATTATATTCAACGGTCATCACAAGTTACATTACAACAAATTATAATGGTAATTCAATAAGTTATGTATGGTTTGCTGAGGTTATGCTGAACATTAGTCAGAAAAATATTCCCATAAATAAACCGGGGTACCCACACATTTTAAAACAACTATGCACATGAATAAAAAAAAATTTAAATTGTTTATATGATAATTAAAAGTGATAATGAAATATGAAAGACAAATTTTTTTTCCAGGTGTTGGTAAAAGTTCACTTTTACTTAGGTTCGCTGATAACACATTTACAGGGAATTATATAACAACGATAGGAGTAGATTTCAAAATACGAACTATAGACCTTGAGGGAGAAAAGGTTAAACTTCAGATTTGGGATACTGCTGGTCAAGAACGGTTTAGAACCATAACATCAACGTAAGTACACTTGAACAAGATTTTAAGATTTTAATGGTCTTGATTTATAATTTTTTGTGTGTAAATATATTATAATTGACGTCATTATTTAATTATTTTGGTTTGAAAGAAAATTAACCGAAACAGCGTAAAATCATTAGTATTAGATTCAAATTTAACTAACAATTTATTAGCTGGTTTTATTCTTAATAACACACTAACAATGGTATGGAGTGCAATCAACTTCTATTTGCCAAACTGATTATCATACAGAATGGATCTAGGATACACTTAAGCGCATTGAGAAAGTTCTCAGTGGTCTCCGCAAAGCAGAGGTGGTATCGGGTTGGTGCAAAATTAGTGCAGGTTGAAAATTTGTTTCATTTTAGCAGCTGTTTGTCATGTAGACAAAGCTAAATCCTCAAATCTAATTTATGGATTATAATAAATACTTGTAACTATTATCTTTTATACAAAACATTTTAATTTATATTGAATTTGATAAGAGTGAGGGCCTGTAAAATTAAATATGTTGAAACTAGATTTTCGTCAAATTTATTTGTACGAATTTAAACTTGGGTGAAGTGTGACCCAAACCGCGCATAACATCAATAGGGAAGGCAAGCATTAGGGAATGCATGGTGCAGTGATTGAATGAAATTCATTTATATCAACACGGGAAATTGTGGAAGAGCATAATGTTGACCACTGAACTGTAGTTTGCTATCTGGAGCAAATAGTAAAGGAGCTCGATAAGTGGGTACGGCACGAACTAGCCCAAAGAAATCGACCCTTTGAAATTTGCATGTCTCTTCTGTTGTGCCACCAAAATGATCCATTTCTCTATTGAATAATCGTCAATCAGCGGAATAAAAGTGTTTTTTGCATGTTGGCAAAGATGTATAGATTTTGATGAAAAATATTTCAAATAAATTTTCTTTATTTGATAACAATTAAAAATAGTTTTGACTGCCTTTTCAAAATGCATTATTTATTCTATCGCTAAATGATTTTCTGTTTTTATGATGAATTTTCTTTCAAACCATCATAATTAAATAATTTTTATTAAAACTCGTGAATTTCTGATCTTCTTTAATTTGATTTAGATTAAAATAATTATGTTGTAATTACTATAATAATAAAAATACATACAGTTTGAAATAAACAACAAAATACGAGTGGCCTTTTTTTTTGTCTTTGAGTATATAATGATATTTTATTAATTTATAACAAAAGGTTAAAAAAGCGGGATGATATATTAGTCAAAAATCAATAATAATAACAATACAATTAAACAATTATTTTATGCAAAGTGTGGTCAATGTGAAATTTAGTGTAATGTGACCGGTGTTGAGAACACATTGACAAAACACTGATCGCCGATCATAACAAACTAGGGAAAATTCAAAGAAACTTTAGGCTGCATGTAAGGAAGTAAAGAGGATCTTTACAAGTAAAAAGTTCGACTTATGAACAGGAGAAGTGGCTCCATTTCGATTCATGGAATCCTCTCTCTCCCTGATGTTATGAAAAATATTCATATTATTAGTGTATCAAAATTTTGTAATTGTGTATCAAAATTAGCACAGAATTTTTTCAATTTATCAAAGAGACCTGCTGAGGAGTTCATATTATCAAAAAGTGTGAATTGTCAAGTTTTGATTTAACAAGAGCCAACTGTAGTCGTATGAGAAGAATTTTAGAAAATTCAAACCTAATCGCAAAAATTGTTGAACCGGAAGATGACAAATGCTCTGAAATAGATGTTTTGGAAATTGAAGAAGAAGAAAAAGACGATCACTATGTTGTTGATGATGTTAATGTTTGTAAATTTGGGCGTGAGTTAATTAGTCAATTATATCATATCAAATACTAACATCCACAAATAAATGATCCCTGAGTGACCCCATGTGGTGCTCAATATAATTTCATTAACGTATTGGGAAGGTTAATCGAGGGGCATATGTGGCTGCAACGGTTGGCCCATCTTCGGAGGTTCTAAATTCAAACTCAGAGTACTTACAAAAACACCAACACCCCAGGGGTTGATATGACTAATTTATTTTAATTCATTTATTTAATTTTGTTGTTATTAATTGATGTTTAAATCTGTTTACAGATATTATAGGGGAACACATGGTGTTATTGTTGTGTACGATGTTACGAGTGGTAGTTCATTTGCAAACGTTAAGCGGTGGCTTCTTGAAATTGAACAAAACTGCGAAGTTGTCAACAGGATATTAGGTAAATATGTTTTAATAGATATTTCTCTCTGTCACATTTAATTTTTCCGTGACTTATTTGTTCACTTAAACTGCAAAATTATTACTTTAGTCCTATGTTAATTCTGTTTGTTTTTCTAACTGAGAATTATATCATTCTTTTTCTCATTGGACTGTTGTATTTATTTTCATTTGTCAGTTCATTGTTTGACTTGTTTGTTTCATTTGACATGTTAGTGCGTTCTTAAGGTTTACAATTTTGTGCGATTACTATTTTTAATGCTTATATCACACAATTTATTATCGTGCTATTAATTAGTAATGTTTTTCTTCTTTTCTTCTCTCATTCACTTTCATTTAAACAATTTACAAATCGTAAATACCAAAATAGGTTTTGTACAATGGATATATTTTTCAGTGGGAAATAAAAATGACACACCTGATCAGAAGGTTGTGTTAACTGAAGATGCTCAAAGGTTTGCTGATCAAATGAATATACAGCTTTTTGAGACCAGCGCAAAAGAAAATCTCAATGTAGAAGAGGTAATTTGTTGTAATATGCAAGTTAAATAGGGAATTATTTTTATTAACATGCTTTCGATTTTATATTCTGTTCTATTTAATGTTATTTATTTTGACCAGTAATAATCGTTGAGTTGTAGACATTTAATTAGTACTGAACTAGAAAAATATTTGATTATGTAATTTTTCTTATTTTATAAACAAAGAAACTGATAACACATGTTGAACCGGAGGTATAACAGAGAACTATAAAAGATTTTAAAATGATGCAGAAAAAAAGCAGATAACAAAAGCACAATGCACAAATTATTAAGAAACACAAAACAATAGCAAATGATCAGTATTCATGCACATAGGAAAAGAAACATACAAACTAGTTATAAAACAGCACTAAAGACCTGGAAAACAGTGTTCATAGCATCACATGTCAACACAGAGACAGATACATTTAACAGACTGAAAGAAAGTTAAAATATTAATTCAGAGAACATCACAGATCACTCAGAGACAATAGATGATGATAAATGATGGAGTGAGTGTGGTGTTCAATCCTTTTTGAAAAGATAGTTCCTACTCACAGTAAGTACTATGAGTAGGAACTATCTTTTTAAAAAGGATCACTCAGAGATAATGGCAAGTACAGTAATCTCTTAACAATTCGCGGGCGTTTGGTTCCAGAAAATTTTCTAATGCTATAAGGAGGGTTACGTTCTATGACGCCAAAAATTGAGATACAATTTAGTATTAAAAAACAGTTTATTCGAAATAAACTTAATAGAAGACATAACAATGTTTTTGATGTTTGTATTTTTTGATGTGCAAGGAAACAAATAACTATTAATTGTTTGCTGTTTAGCTGAATAATTAATTTCTTTAAGAATTTCCACATAAAGGATTTGAAGCTGGCTCGACATCCCTTTTCAACTCCAATTTAAAGATTGGTCGTAATCCATTGCTTGGTACACACAAAAGTTGGTCATTCGAAGTTAAAATTTCCCTGAGATGTTTTGAAGAAAAGGTTTGGCCTGCATAAAAAATGTAACAAAATTTTTATTCTTTCACCAAAGGTCAGGACGGTTTTTTTCTGTTTTGGAAGAGGAGGCATTTTGCAACACAACTAGAGAATAATAAAACAAACTGAGCAGAAAGAAGGAACAGTATGTTTTTTTTTCTTTTTTTGGCATTGACCTTTTGTCTTCAGCCAGTATGTTGAAAGCAGGCAAAAGTTTTCTGAGGATTAATTGGAGCCTTCAATCCATTTTTTAAAGAATTATTTTCGATACGAAAAAAAGAAATTGTTTATGAAACTGTTTTTTCCCTCAAATAAAGAAATCGGTTTTCCGCAGTGTCAAAACTTTCCTCATTTTTTCATACATAAATAGTGAAAACCGTGAGTGTTAAGGGATTACTGTATATCAAATTGTGCCACCAACTTAATACATCAGCAGCACAGCCAAACGCAATAGAAACAACCATGACATTAATACACAATGAACAAAAATAACGGAAACAAATGTACTGAAGAACTTAGAAGTACAAAAAACTAATAACACTCTAAGATGGAAAACTTATAAATGCACAAACACACACTTACAATTTACAAAACAAAAAACACAAATGTTCTAAAGAAGACAACATTCTAATACACAACAAAAAGCTAAGAAACTTGCACAAGAAAAAATAAAATAACCGACATCACTGCCGACCAGTGAGCGCCAGTGAAAGGACTGACACGGGCAATGAAACAGACGGTTCCTCATTAAAGATGGCACAAAGCCAAGACGTGTTTGAGTTATGTCAAAACCCATGAGTGTAAACGGACCAAGTAAAGGACAGTGCAGGTTATTAATAATAATAATCTATATAAAGGAATTTATAAAAATTTCTATTGCATAATTGTTGAATGTTGAAGAACATGAAATAAAAAATATTTATAACTTAATAAATGCTGTTAAAGGCAAAAAAAATTATGCTTATTTTTATCACATGTTTGCAGTGGCATTCAAAACTTTAAGTTGATTAATTATTTACATAAAAATTAGCAAAAAGGAATTCTTCTGATTGTTGCTGAAACATGTTTTAAATTTGTAAGAATTGAAAGAATTGAGCTGGCATTGTGTACTAAAGGAAATCAATTGCAGAAAATATAGTTATCCATCATCAATCTAAATTGTGTAAAAGGGTTATTTTTTAAAATAAACAATTAATAATCCATAATTTATTATTATATTTATTTATTTATTCTATTTAAGAAGGTTCACAACAGCAGAGGTCATATAAACCCTCAAGGTGCCGGTGTTTTGCAGCAGCCCTGCATTTGAACCTTGGACCTNATTTATTTTTAATAAATTAATATAGTAATTTAATACTACCATAAAATAAATAGAAAAAGTAGTGTAAATTGTGTCGGGTCTTAAAATAAGTCCGTACTTTTTTTAAATTATTTATTTAATTTTATTTTTAAATTCAATAAATTCAATGAAACTTTCAGGTACTTGTAAACTAATTTGTTGAAGTCATGAGGAGCGGTCAAGAACTTGGTTTTTGACCGCTCCTCACGACTTCAAGAAATTATGAAATAACATGTGACTAAAAAACCAGACATACTTGTAAACATTTTGTTCAACAACCTGTTGTCATCTTCCATGTAATTTTGTAATTCCATCCTTCCAGAACTTTGTAGATTTTGGAGCGATGAACTCCTTTAATATTTTCTGCAGACATCATGCGAAGTTAAGTGTTTTCCATTAATAGAGTTTTGCAGAGCTGAATAAGTGAAAATCAGAAAGGGCAATGTAGGATGAATACAATGGGTGAGACAGCATATCCCAGCCAAGCTCAAACCTTTTATGCTGGCACGTGGAAGCGAGTGTTATTCTGGTGAATTAACGGTTTGGTTAGGCGAAAGAAGATAAAGCACCCCCTTCCAATCCCACCAAACGAACATTTTTGGGATATAATCCATCTTTTGGTGTTGATAACGATGGGTCAAGGAGTTTCCTCTTGTTGTAAAGTACCAAATGTTCCTCCTCGGTTATCAATAATTTTAATAACAGATTGTTTACATTGTATTTTATGAGGGAATTGCAAATGAAGATACAATGCAATAAATTCTGTCAACATGTATAAAACAAACATATCCAGCGGTAGTTAAAAGTGATCTCTCACGCTCTTGAGTGTGGGTTATTTGTGACAAAAGCTTCAATGGACCTGGACCACCAATCACAAATCAATGGACCAATTGGTTTGGAAGGATGATCAGAACTTTGCTTCTTCCAGATAAAATTTTCTGCTACCAAACCAAGCAAACCACTTACAGACTTTTTTACTAAAGCGTTACCCTACACATCACAAATTTTCCTACCAGTCTAAGTTGCGATTTTCTCTTTGTGGTAATAAAAAACAATTAATGATGAAAACTTTGTTAACTACATACTAAATTAGCAAAACACCTTACAACAATACAAGATCGCTAATGAAACTGATGAATAAAAACACTGTAACTACCTTTGCAGTGTGTAAAAAAATAATGGCTAAGTAAACATTGCTTCAAACACAAGAGGGATAAAATTGATTTATTGAAAAATGCTAGACTTATTTTACAAGCATAAAGGTAGGATCTATTGATAGAACACCATGTATTTTTAATTTTCGATAATTTATTAAAATCAAATGTTTTTAATGAATCTATTAACAATTAATAATTATTATGTTCAGTCATCAGTTGAAAAATAGAAAGATAACAATGAATATAGAGTAGTCAGAATTATTGAATAGAAAGGGTGGTTTATTGTTAAATTATCAGTCAAAACAATAAGATAAAAATATGGATATACACAAATTTAAAAAAAAATCACATAATCAAATAATTAACTAAATAATAATAAATTATAATTGTAATTATATCAATAGACAAATTTTACAACTATTTTATTAACTTGATAAATTTTTTTTATAGATGTTTATGGCAATCACAAAGCAAGTGTTGCGCACAAAGAAGGAAAGGAAAGAACGTCAAGCGAACCAAAATAATGATACTGTTAATTTAAGAAAACCTAACAAAAGCAAAAGAAAGTATTGCTAATATTAATGTTCGCTAACTATAAGAAATGTAACCAAAAGGAGAAAAGAAGAGGTGGTCATTAGAATTATAATTAATATTTCTCAGTGTTTGTTTATATATAACACAATAAGTTTGTATGGATTTCACAAACAATTTTACAAAAATAAACGTTATGATCGTTCATATGTATATTGTACATAATTAAGGTTAGAATTGTGGAGCTTATACCTCTGGTTCCTTTTCGAGGCTCAGTTTTGAATAAAATAAATTGAACTTTTGTATAATGTGCTATCAGATTATTTTATAAAAGTAAATGCAATACAATGTTTGTAAACAAAAAATTCTATTAATTGCTTGCTATTTTTTTTAATATCTAAAAATGGCATTTCTCAAAGGAAATCAAAACTATTAATTTCCTTAAAAAATAATAAATTATAAAATAAAATGAGACAATCCCATTTTTTTGTTGCAAAAATCCTTTATTGCCTAATTCGGTTACATATAACTATGTTAGAATTAGGCCCAATGTTTTTCACTGCAAAAACAAAAATTGGACATTTTTATTTTGGTTAGTTTTATTGTATGATAAAGGTTCACAAGCTTTTATACTTGGATGTATATTAAAAGGCATGAATGATCATCATATTTTTAGATTACATTTAGAGATTTTTTTTTTCCATCAGGAGTGATGATAGTTTAATATTGTTATTTATATTCACCCAACAACCATGGTTCATGGTTGGAAATAAAGAAGGAAATATTATGTGATCAAAATTATTTGTTATATTTTTCAAAATATAAAAAATAAAACTGGTGCAATCTTGTTACCAAATTTGCAAACAATCAATTTGTATGAAATGAGATACTGGTCCAGTATGTTACCAAATAGTGATGGTTCAAAAAATTTTTTTTTAAAAGTTATATCTAACTTAAATTTTATTCCTCTACTTTTAAATCAAGTTTCTAGCACTGAATTATAACTAAATTATTTACTGTATCATCACAAATTGTTTTTGTGGTATTAAAATTTTTCTTTTTTATTTTACAGTATATAAAAAATTACAATATATTTAATATTATACATACATTTTTTTGAGACATGAATAATTTTTATTATTATTTGCCAATTTGTATTGTTTTTTCTTTCTTTTTTGTTACCTCTATAAAATGTTAATGATTATATAATATAATAAAAGAAGATTAAGTATTTAAATACTTACAAAACTTGTAGCAATACTTAATACTTAGAACCAAGATATAACGTCCATTTTATTATTGTTTTTGATAACCTAAGCATTCCTTTTTTTCTTATCTTCATTATTTTAAAACAAATTAAAATACTAATTGTATGGATATTATTTAATTACACGTTCTTTTTTCTTCAAAATTGTTTTCACTTTACAAAAAAAAACAAAAACAACAGTATATTCAGCTTTTTTGCTTATAAATTTAATGGTTATTCTAAGTCAATAGAGTCATATTGATACAGCTATCTTGTTTGTGTACAAAAATAAAATAAAAATTATATATATACATACACACTCATATATATAATGTGATTGTATGATAAATATATAAGATATATTAAAGTGATTGTAATATTCAATTCTGTATAAACAATAAGAATACAATAATACCTATTATGCCCATTTTTTTAAAAAGGTAAATGTAATTTTAATGTAGATATAACTTGTAAAAAGCTTGTTTTTAATTTATTGTTTTAGACCTGATTTTCTTTTATAGACTTTAAGAATTACCACCATTTCTTGTTTAGTATTTATTAGAATGTACAAATTATATGTACTAAATGCATTTTTTATTTTACTAGCTTCAAAGAAACTTACCCTAGGGGGTGAGTTACAATTATCAGTTTCACTATATATTTAATTAGTTTAATTAAAAGTGCTTTTGTTGATTGTTAGGTTAAATGGGAATTTAAAATAATTAAATTTGATGCAGCAGTGAAAAAAAATTCATTGAGACTGAATTTTAAATTTGATAAAGATTAAAATTAAAGGTGGCATTAAATTGTAATGCATCTTTTTGAAAGCGCAAAATGAAACTAAACATAATAATTCCAGCATATTTTAAAAGGAAAGTTAATAAGCTTCTCAACTGTTTCAATTTACATGTACATAGATTACACATGTACATTTTTGCAATAATTTTTCATAAATGGGGGCCAATTAAAAATTACCTAGGCCATTTGATTTGAATATAAAATTTACTAATAGACTTATTTTGTCCCGAATTGAACAGGGCTGTACGCTGTTACTGTGTAACTAGTTTTTACATTCTTCCATTGTATTAGCTAAACTATACATTATTTTTTCCTTTTATTTAATCTTTGTATTTCATTAAACAATTTGTTTAGAATAATAGTTGATTTATGAATTTTATTTAATCTATACAAAATTATCTTCCTATGATTGTGCTTGACCTACGATATATTTATAATATACATGATAAGTTTTATTGCTCTTTAAAATAAAACTGCATATTGTGTATGATTTTAAGTGTATCGGTTGTGTTATACAGTTATGTACATAACCTATACATTTTACAGAATTATTAAATATTAAAAAAAAATCTGTTGTGATTTGACTTTAATAATAAAATTCCTGTTTTTTATGCTCAGTATTTTTACTTTTTTCAGAAACAGTTTTAATTGCCTTTTTATTGGTCCAAACAATGAGTCTTAATAATACATCTCACGGCTTGCATTGTGTATATTTGAGATGATGGAGGCATTGCCTACCTTATCTGCACCAACTTCCTCAGTTTTGTGCTGCCCGTGGACCCGCTCGTTGTGCTCTTATGGAGAGCTTCAATGAACTGGAGCATCATGGCAAAATGGTGATTGATTGCCAGATACATAAGTCTAGAGGGGAACGAAAAAGTGGAAAAAATCTATTGAAGACAGATATTTCTACCTCTGGACTGAACCACCATGATTAGGCCCTCTGTCACTAAAAATGCAATGAAAAACACTATTAAAAGTAATGGAAAAGTGTCTGAGGGCCAGATCAGCAGAGAAGCTCTCATGTGTGAAAGCATAGTCAACAGGCGGACCTCAGAGGATTTAAATTATAGAAGAGGGATCATTCCCAATTAAGAATAGGCCAGCCGAAGTTGAAACATGTACTCTTGCTTTTGGGACAAAGCCCGCATGTGTGGCATGTGTCCTACTTAATTCTTTGGCTTCATAGAGCTTGAGGACAGCAGCGAGTACTGGTGTCCCCTGTTCCAATTTTTTGAGGAAACAGGGCTATTTTGTTGTATATAGTACTTGGTAGATGTATTTCCCTTTCTGTATATTGAGAGTGAATGTATTTATTAGAGTGAATATGTAGTGTGAGAGGGCTGATACGAGTCGACCCTCAATTATACAGTATGTGTGAAGGGTGGTGAGGAATATTGAGTACTCCACCACCCTAACTGGGGTAATCAGTGTCTAAATCTAAGGGGGTGGATCAGTTTTACTTTAGCAAAGTGGGTCAGAATTCAGTTGGTATTGACAACCAAATTACAGGGCTGTTTGAATGAGCTTGATTACAGCAGAAAATTCCACTTTTGCGCTGACAGCGGGCAGCAAGTATATCAATCATCTGTCAATGTCTGGTTACAACTGAATTAATTGGAAGCTGAAAGGACCTAGCTGTTGACCGCCCCTTGGGGGATGACTTCTCAGCCATAGGTGGCCCTTGAAGTATCTGACTTGTAGAAAAAGGGTCATCTTCACCTGACAAAGATAGACCATGTGAGGTTGACAAGGACACTTACTTTTGAGTCAAAGCCTGCGTATGTAAATGGTATCCTTATATTTGGTTTAAAATATATTTGAAGGGCTATGCTTCTATAGTGGAATGCTGCAGTTAAAAAACAAGGTTAAATGCGTAGAGATAATCTTTTATAAGAAATAGAGAACCCTCATCTGCAGCATAACATAACAAAAAGTAAAATATCACTAAAGACCTCAAGAAAATATGAAGACAAATGTTGGGAACTAAAACTGAAAATGGCCCATTGGCTATATGCTAAGACCCAAAGAAACATATGGCTAACTAATCTGGTGGAGCAAACCTTAACAAAAACTATCTACCCAAACATTAGGCAGCATACAAAGACGGGAAAATCTATTTATCACTGGGGCAACGAAAGCACCCCCAGATATTAGAAATACTGCTAAAAACCTACCTCCATTAAAAACATTTATACAAGAAAAGAAGAAAAGATCATTTAGGCTCCAGAAACAATCAGATTGGATTGGATGTATATATATTATGTAGGGTGGGTGATCAAGACCCGAGGGGTTAAATGCCTGGGTAGACTTGTACCTCATCCCTAAAAGGTCCAGGTCTTGGTCGGCTCACGTGTCCTGCATAAATCTCTTGGACTTGTTCACAAATCCCAAGATTTTGGACCATTTTATCTTGTGGAGTGAATTGGTGATGTCCGCTCCTTCAAAGATTTCAAGTCTACACCTAGCATACTTATCACACTCTGCAAGGTAGTGCCTTGCCGTTTCTTCTTTTATTTAATAAAAACGGCAAAAGGGATCTGGTAGGATACCCATTACGAAGAGGTGTCTTCTCAGTGGGCAGTGGCCCGTCAGAATACCTATCAGCCTCCTAATTCCCTTCCTTGAGATAGAGAATAGCCATTTCGATTCTGCTGGTTTGATCTTATAAAACTCTTTCCATTGCGTGTGTCCGGGGGATAAATTCCACTCCGTAGGGAACTG